ACACGGCCGTGTCTCTATGACCTCGGGGATACCGATCGATCTACCCTTACTTGGTGCGAAAAACGCGCGCCTCGACTCTTAAAAGCGGTTGATGACGCGGCGCGCGGCGTCTTGCCCTTTTCTTTTTTTTTTCTCCCTCTCGGAGCGCGGGATACCGTCGCGTTTTATCACGTGGTAGCACAGAACACACCTCGAGCACACTCGTGTCGGCGGCCCGCGACTTACTGACGGATAATGGAGTAAAACGACGGGTGGGAAGGGAGAAAAGACCGCAGCGTGCGTGCGTTTGGCACTGGTTCATGCGGCCGCGTTCACAGGAGAAAAGGATGGAAGGGAGAACGTGGCAGTGGTGGATTTAGATCTCCTGGGCGCCCTACCCCGAATCGCGCCTGCTCCCCGATCTCTCCTCCAGGAGGTCGCCCGCGCCCTCGTCGGCTCTGAGAGCGAGGCCTCGGCGAGAGAGCGTCTCCGCGGCTGCGCTGGGAAAATTCTCACGAACCAACCTCGGGACAACCTGAGGCCGAGATCGTCGGTCCCGGATCGATCGTCGCGATCGGACATCGATCGCGTATTTTATTTCCCGCCGCTGCTCACGCGGACCTTGAGCGGAGATGCCTCCTTTGTGTGTAGGCGTCTTCTCAAGTCTACCGTTTGTGGAGGGGAGGGGGGGGGGGACTTTGCAATTTCTACCTGTGTGAGGTGGAAACTCTACCTATACTCTTGATTCACCGGTTTTTCCTTCGAACCTTCAACGCTCAAACGCTGAAATGCTCCCGATATGTCTACTTTTTGTTATTGCGACGTGTTTCTCTTATCCACTTCTCTTATCTCTACTCGTTTTTAATGTTCAAAATTAAAAGATGCGCATTTCTTTATGAATACGAAAAGTTTATCTAATTTATCTTTCAATAAAGCTATCTCTGGGGAACGAAATTATCTTGCAAAAGAAAAGAAAGGGAGAAGAGAAAAAGCGAGCGAGCGAATGAGAGAGAGAGAGCAATTTATCACTCTGAACAAGATCTACGTCTAGACTTTCTATAGAAACTTGGAATTACACAAAGTTGGTGACACAATAGTGTAGAAAGAACAATAGTGAATAGAACATTTTCACTTTAGTTAAGTCACAACTTTAGCTAAGAAACAACAGAGCATCCAATCCAATTGACTTTGATTTATTGATATTTTATTTATTTCATAATAACAGTGATATATTCCGATGTACTAATGCAAGATAAAAAATTATTTTTTCCAATCGACAATCAATTTATAAAATCGAAACACTTTACACTTTACAACGAATTGTTAGTATCACAGAATTGCTAATTTTTTTTAAATTAATTAATCTGTTGTTAAAAAATTTGAAATTTTTAGCACAATCTCGATTAATTTTTTATTTCTTTTACAGCAGTCAGATTAAGTAACACTTAAGTATTTATATATTCAAATATGTACGTCTAAACATGTTTGAACATGTTTATAATTTATTTGTTGAATACATCAATGATAAACCTGATACTGTCAGCTACATGATAAAAACTAACTCAATTTGTAAAACACCTTTTTTTATAAAAAAAGAGTCAGTAGATAATATAATGTTGATAACTCTGTAAAATTTTATCAATTAACCTACAATCAATAATTATATATAAAACATATTTTCATTCGAAATGCAAAAAGTTGACAGAAAAGTAAACTATATGTTGACTAATGTAAAAACACGTAGAATCAATTTATTTTGCATATAATGTAAGTGATATAAATTCATGATGTAATTTTTTTACTTTTGAAGATGCAATTTACGATGGCAAGAGCATCAATATTTCTTTATTATTTAATGTTGATTCGCAACTGTATCAATAAAAAAAAAAATCTGGTTTAACAAGGATTCTATCATAGCCGTATGTCACGAGCAGAACTTGGGCAATCGAATTCGTGAATTAACTGACTATAAAAGAATTTGATGGATTTAATATATAGAAGCTTCTAGAATCGTTTAATCTCCATTTCCAGTTCTGATTGATCAATCGAGATAGAAAATGACAATAATATTTATATGTCTAACGTTACTAGTTTTTACAATTCATTTTCAAATTCGTTTACAGACAAAAGGAATTCGGAAAAAATGTCCTTTCAAAAAACTATGTCGTAGAGATATCTTTCTCTGTTGAAGTTAATTAAAAATTCAAATTTTATATATATTGTATATTTGTAATATCTAATAATATCAATATTAAGTTGTGTTACATGTAACACAACATGTTGTTGATGACCTATCGAGAAAATCAGGAAAATATCAAAAAAATAATGAAAAAAGATTGTCTGTGCTGCGCGTAGAAGTTATAGTGTAAATTTATTATTCATAAAGAATATTTTCTGCAAAAAATGATCTTGATCTTTTTATCATCCTACCAGCCATTTTTATCGCGCGATATAAATACAAGTATATATAATATATTGCAGTATAAAATCATAAATAATAAAACGTGCTTTATTTGACTTGTTTTAAATAAGTTTTTTCTTATCAAGAAATCAATAATTATAGACATACGTATTTCTTATACATACGGATGTTATATATTTTAATATTAATGAGAATCAATGCCGTCAGCAAGCTGATGTAAGCAATATATATCATTATTTTTTTATTGATTGGGTTCACCGATTAAACTCTAAAGTATATCTTTATCACATTTTTGTAGTGAAGTCACTGAAGATGACTTAAATTCGAATCGAAATATTTCGTTTTTATTAATAAACGAAATTAAAATTAAACATACATAATTGCGCACTTACTAGCATCGATTCTCATTACCTTTACTATTGCCCATCGTATCATATCTTTTTTTCTTTAATATTTATATATTTTACATATTAGATATTTTATAATATTTTATAATAATAAATATAATATGTACGTATCATATGATGCTTTATTCAAAGGGAGAGCAAGGATAAATTTATGATTCAGACGAAAATATGACTTACCACATCCCACATCGTTAGATACTTCCATTGGCCAGGGTCAAATTTGTCAAATTTGTTCATGAGAAAAGGAATGTGTAGTATGTAGAAGGAATAATACAGCGTGAAGCTGTAAGCCATTAGATTGACCAGATGGACCACCATGTTAATATCCGGCATTTTGATCAGATTCTGTCAAATTTAAACGTGCACATAAGTACGATGTAATTGCGAGAGTAAGGTAAAATGTTGAATTAAGAGCACAAAATTACGTCATGATATTGATACGAATATTAGAGATTTTAGAAGATAAATTAAAGTAAAATAAAATTTTATAGAAAATTAATTTTTCCAGGTTGCAGTTGTATTTACGATTTGTCTTTCTAAGTGTTGGGATTTTTAAACGTTGCAATTCTACACATATTTGATATTCGCTTCGTTCAGCGTAAATACAACTTGGAGCAGTTGCTCGGCGGTCGTGTGAGTTTTTATATCAACTAATTTGTTTTTCGTCTAATAATTTTATATTTGAAGAAATATGAAATATAAATATATCTTTAAAGAGAAAAAGAGAGAGAGAGAGAGAGAGAGAAAGGGAAAGAATAAAGATCAAGTTTGTTTTTTGGAATCTATAATTCGTGTCAAACTTATAAAATATTTTTATAAAACATTTATAAAGTATTTTAATTTTATTTACGTGTATTTATAATCTTGAAATGCAACGCTGATGTTTTCTTACATTAAACTGACACATATACTATTTTTATATTTTTGCATAGACCAAGTAAATCAATTAAAATAAAAAAATACTACTTATCTATGGAACAGATTTGATGTAAATAAATTTATTAATGGAGTGCTAGAAATATTTTGTCCTCGTGCGTGATAAATTCAAACGATAAAGTTTTTGCCAAATCTAAAATCATTATTTTGTTAGATCACAATAATGGATAATAGATAATATTAGATAAATTGCAGATAAATCCAAGTAAACCTTGAAAGATATTTTGATCGAAGCGAAATCTTTTGATATGAAAAAATGCCACGTCATCATAATGCCAAGTTATCATAAATACAAAGAATTAATTTGCTCTTATTTACATATCAATTATTCTATAATTTATACTCATGAAGCGCTGGCGCTCACACTTGACGACGAGCCACGACTTGTGTCTCTCGACACAAGTAATATCGGACATAATCATCTATTTAAGATTGCACAATTTTTTAAACAATTTTTTTCCAAGAGCTTGATACATAATTATATATATATATTTCAATTTGTTGTCTTCAGACAAATATTATCAGATAAATTATTTACATATACATACACATATATGTTTATATATACATATTTTTTCAAGATGATTTTTAATAAAATAACGATGTAACGATTATTTAAATAAACAAAGAGGATAAAACTCTTCTAAATGTAAAAGACTCAATAATATTAGTTTAACGTTCTATATCTTGAAGTCACAGATTATTGAGAGCGAGAGAATTAGGATTCTTAGATAGCGCAATTCATTCTACGTCTTTCATGCATGATGCAGACGAGTGCTTCTGCGAGTAGTTATTTAACTTCTCGATTCAACGGTATCTCTTCCGCGACTTCAACGACAATGAGTCGTGTATATCTGTAATTCCGCCGTGCATCGAAGGTGCACAGGTGCGTTCTCACAGACCTATGAGAGTTTTAGTCAAGAAACAACACCGGTTGTCGAAACCACAAAATCTCTTCACGCAACACGACATCTGCACATCCGCGGCATGGCGAAGAAACAGTTTTTTTCTATCGGCAACCTTGACCGTAATATAATCGCAAATAAATTTTAATCATCCGACAATTTCTAACTCGACTCTGTTACACAAATGACAAGACTTGGACTGTCAATTGCAGGCACTTATTACACTTAATAATCATTTACGATAATAAAACGATAAAGGCCGAGTTCTCGATTGTCATATTGCTAGAGCGTCAGCGTAATCATTTTTCGCGACGAGTGCAGAAAGAAGCTTAAACTGGAAGTTTTCAGAATAACATTCCTTCCGCTTTTTTACACGTCTCGTCAATAATCACATTATAATAATAATAATAATAATAATAATAATAATAATAAATATAAATATAATAATTATAAATTACTGAGATTATATCTACATGAAAATTAAAAAAAAAAAAATTATTTCTTTTTACATTCCATCCAGATGTATAGTCAAGAAAGACAGGAAGATGATGACAATCAAGTGGAATAATTAAATCTTCAATTAATATTGAACTTTCAATAAGAGCGATTTTTCGCCGGGAATTTAATAGCGCTGTCGCGGAAGAGTGGAAAATTCCTGACTCATTTCTGGATATAATTCGTCTGCGTTACCTCTGCTATTATGTCGTTGATAATAAGCCGTCAGACGTCGCGTGTCAAAGCCGGGGCCAAAGAGAGCGCCTGGTTGGATTCGCACTGATTGATCGAGCGACGAACGACTGCTCGCGCTTAATCGGCGCGTGTGTTATTAAAAGTTCGATAGCACCGTCACAATGGGGGGGGGGGGGCAAATACACGCGATTATCAGCGGGTCTGATGACGTTGTCAATGTCGCGTCGCGATTAAACTGCGGGTCCGAGACGGGCTCAGAGAGACGCTTAACAGACGTCCCGTGATCACTGTTTATCAACGCGACGACGAGGAGGATAACGACGGTGCGCTTCGACCGCGATCGACGATGCGCGAGTGCACCAGGCGGATCGAGAATTACGCGATTAGGCGCGGAATTGTAGCGCCTGCCGCTCTGCTCATCTACTCTATCAAGGCTAACGAGAATCGCTCACTTCTTTCTATCTGGTGGGAGAAGCACGAGGCGCGTTAACGGAAAAGCGTCGCGGGAAGTTAGCGAGGATGAAAGGAAGAGAGCATGCCGGAAGACGCATGCTTCTCAACAGAGAGAGAGAGAGAGAGAGAGACGACGAGTGAGAATATATAAGAAAAAAAGAGGACTGTGACGAACACTGTAACGTTTCTGCATAATTGCAGGAAGAAGAATTGGAGAAGAGATTGACATGCGTGAGAGAGAGAGAAAAATGAGAATTTTGGCAGACCAATTTAAATCCAAATATAATAACGTGTGAAATAAATAATTTTCAAAAATTTTTAATTTAATTATTGGAAAAAGTGTGTTTTAAAAGCTGGGTTATTTATAAGGAAAGAAATATTTTGTATTCATTGAAGATGCAAGCTTGAAAAAATTATTATGGACGTATCCAAAATTTGTTTCAGGGGGGAGAAGGGTTATTATCAATTCTTAATATATAAATAGCAATTTCTTGTGTTAATGAATTGCTTTCTTGGGTATTTTAGAGTTTAGAATATCTCCTTGTTCCTGACTTCGAGTGAGAAAAATATTAAGTTTTTTAAACATAACTTTAACTTTACTATAATTTTCTTCTTTTAATTTTGAAGGAGTTTGTACTTCCTGGCTATGCCCATGATCACATTCTAATTTACATTCTAATTTAAAACATATGTACACGTAAGAACAACGTTATGTTGAATAATAAAACACGTTATAGCCAATTTTCGGAAAAATTAAAAAATTATGATTGCAACTAATCCTTGTCGTCAACTTTTACTAACTTAAAATAACAAAATCGAAAAACGGTAGAATAATAAATGTTAAATAAAATATATATTAATAAAAATGTCAATCAGATATAATATTTGTAATATATATATATATATATATATATATATATGTGTG